CTCGTTTCAAAATGGCGGCCATTTTAGTGACGATTTTAGTACAGTATATAAAACTGTAATAGCAATGAGTTTTAAAAGTAAAAAAGTTATATAGCACATTAATTAAGCTAGACATGTAGATATTTAAGAAACACATGGTAGCCATCTTGAAAAATGGCGGCTTTTACATACGATTTTACAATTTTTACTATAACTTGAAAAGTAGTGGAGCGATTTTGTTCATATTTGATATGAGACTAATTATTGGCATGGCACACTGTTCTATTATGACATTTTGGCTATTAAGGCGGCCATTTTAAGAATGGCCACCATTTAACGTGAGTTATTTTAGGTTTTATATATTTTGCAAGTGGATCCAAGTGGGCGAGTCAATTATTTTGCAGGGGTGTCATAGTGAACACCTCTTTAGTGAAGATCTCTGCCCAGTGACATGCCTCTACTCTATTGAACACCTGTGTATAGTGAACACCGATTCCGTCCCAGCCAGTGAGTTCAGTACAGTAAAAATGTCCTAATGAACACCTCTTTAGTGAAGATCTGTGCCCAGTGAACACATGCGTCTACTCTATTGAACACCTGTGTATAGTGAACACCAATTCCCAGTACAGTAAAACTGTCATAATGAACATCTCTTTAGTGTAATACTGTGCCCAGCGAACATATGAGTATACTCTATTGAACACCAATTCCCAGCCAGTGATTTCAGTTACTTTTAGAGGGGATTGTACCTACAGTAAAACCTGTCTAATCCAAGGGACCAGCTCAGAGCGTTTGGATTAGGAGGTGTTCACATTTTGAGGTTTTGCATTTGCAAGATTTGGGTTTTTGAAGAAATAGAAACAAATTCTCAATAAATATTATAGTTCTTTTGACTACTTAGCTTTATGGCATTACAGTGACATGAAAATCTGATTCAAATGAATTTAGTCATCCTAGAAGAGCCCCACCATGAGTGAGATCGTTCAAGTTTTTTTCAAATATTTGATCAATTTATGGAACATGTGATATTTTATGTGTTCAGATTAGATAGGTTAATTTTTCAAACATGACTGTTCACTGTCAAAATTGGGAGATGTTCATATTTCAAGTTTTTCTAACGTTTGAGTCAATGGGAGAAAAAACGGGACCAAAAAATGTTCAAATTGGGAGGTGTTCGGATTAGCCAGGTGTTCAGATATACAGGTTTTACTGTACTACAATTGTTTTCAATCTTTTGGAGGAAAGTGTACATCATTCCAGAGAAATGACAGATGCACTGTATGTACAGTGATCGCCTACGATTAAAAGTGCGTGATCAAAGACTCGACAAGATGCGCAAAATTCAAATATTTTGTAACGGTTACTTTTAAAAGATTTATTTGTGTTTATATTACAGGCTACTGGTGATTCAATTAGGTTTTGTAGGCACAAGAACACCAATATGCTTTGAGAAATATATATTAGTTTGACCATTTTTCGTATAAGTTATTGATTTTACGATTTAAAGATATAAATGCGATACAATATGTGTTATTTTATTTAAAAAGCTTGAAAATATCAAAAACAATAGAACATTTTTACTCTCTTTAATTTTTTATACTTAGGTAGGGTCTTGGACTTCCATTTGACCATGATGAAATTCACGTTTCCTCTACAATAACATGGGAAAAATATTTTAACACAGAAACGAATGGATCAGCCAATAGCGTGAGTTTCAACAAACCATACACGCATATCTATATGCTTTTCAAGAGAAGAAAATGGGGATCTCGCAAAATGTATGTCTAAACTGATTCAGTCAATTAAATGGTCACTGTGTGTGTGTTCATTTTGTTTCTCTGCCTAGATTTGAATACATTACCATTAAATGATATATACACTGAACCTCTAGAACCTGCTAAGTGAAACACCTCTTGAAGCGTAACACCTTACAAGTGGAACCGTTTTTTTAAGTTCCATTTTAGTCCATTTATTTTACGCCTCTGATCTTAAGGTATGAGAACTATACACCTTGGCATCCAAGATGATTGTCGAATTGTAATGTAATTGTAATTGTAATAAAATATAAAATCTGAATTGTACATTATCTATTTCATTGGGAAGTTAAATCATTCTTTTGCAGCAAGGTATCAGTAAGTAATGTAATGACGTCATAACCTTCAGTAGATGCCAGTAGTCAGTTCCCAGTTTCACCACGAGCTGGCTAACTTGTATTGGGTCATATATAAATGACAGGTATAAGGGAAAACTCCTTTAAGGTTCAATATTCAGTAGATTTATTGATCAATTTCAACTAAGGTCTATAAGTGATTAGCTTGAGAATTTTAGAATTGTATGTAATCGAATGCAAAATAAACGACCAGTGGGCGTTTTTAGAGAAACTCTACAAAATGTGAAAGAAATACCATGCTATTATCTCTAATGACAGAGTTATGTGGATCGATGGGACCGAGTAAAAGTTCCAGTTTAGGCTTTGCTCATAGGGGTATCATATTAGATTCACTGGTGGACACTATAGGAGAATGAGAGTCTATTGTAATTCAGAATCATTTATTGTCATTTCATTACTAATTGATATTCTCGTTCTATTGCAATTTCATTGGTAATTTTATTTGATTTTGTAGCAGTTGTTGAATCAGAGATTCTGGATGATTTCATTCGATTATTGTCAATCACTGAAATTGTCATGAATTCATCACTTTCTACAAGTATGTGTTTATTTATTGATTTCACTTCATTTGGTATTATTCCAGAGAAATTTCTTGTTATCATTCTAGATTTGCCTCTATTTTCAGTAATCTTTCTCATCTTCATCTCTTCTTCTTCATGATGTTCTACAAGGTGGTTTATAATGATTTGAAATTTAGGAGTTTGTAATGAAGGACAGTAAAATCATGTAAACCCAACCACTCTGAAATGCAAAGAACATACTAGTATCATTAGAATCCACATGGTAAAATCACGCACTTGGCTGATCATAAATTGTTTTCATAACATCCTAACTCGATACTGAAGGGGAGTTGGAACGTCTGATATGCATGTAATGTTAAGTATTATGTATATTAACCATAAGTATGTTGGTTTTGTGGTTTTGGTAATCTAAAAACAGAAGATTTGGTGAAATATACATTGAAATATACCAAATGAATCTTGAGTCTCTTATACAGCATATGGAATACCATCTGTAGGTAAAATGACATTAAGGTGGTAAAGAGAAGAGAAACAAACATACCTTTCCTCCGACATTTCGAATTTTGCGCATCTTGTCGAGTCTTTGATCACGCACTTTTAATAGTAGGCGATCACTGTACATACAGTGAGGTGACACACTGTTATGGGAACTGGTCATATCAGATGTTCCCACGCTTTTCGTCCAGAAGAGGTCATTTCCCAGGATTATAGATGAACCCTTGGCCAATCAATGATGTAGTTTACATAAGAGAAGTATCACTGTATGAATTCTGGGATATTCCTGTTTTGTTGAGACAGTTGAGAATAAAATTAACCCTTTGCAAATTTGATCAATACTGCCTCCAATCATCCAATACTTGGCTCAGTTAAAATAGTTGATTTATATTTGAATTCGATATAACATTTAAAAATTAAATGTGTAGTAGTAATACTTTAGTACCTCTTATTGATTAATGTATAATATTACAACATACATAATGATGTAGGCAATTTGTTTCATAAAAATCTAAAAGTAAAATTCATAATTTAAATTTACCCTCTGGGAGCCCCAAAATTTTAGAAAATGCATTTTCTTGGTGATGTATTTTCTAAACTACCGTCTTTTCCTGCCATGAGACAAAGGTATGATTTTTGTAATTTGAGTAGTTTATCCAAAGCTGAATATGCTCCAGCCCAAATAATTGTGCAATAATTCAAGTAGGAGTATATTAAAGAATTATAAATTGCTAACATACTTTTTATGTTAAGCAATTGCAAGTATCTGCATTTGAATGAGATTCCAATGGTTCTAGATACTTTTCTTTATACATTTTTATGTGACTTTTCCAGTCAATTCATCAACTGTCCCCAAAATATTATTTCATGAACCCTATGAATTTGTTTTCCATTTATGAATATTTCAATTTTTTGGCAAACCTTTTTTCGTTTTTTTGGAGAAGACGATGAATTTTTTTGGAATAGTTTAAAGAAAGGAGGTTTGTTTTAAACCAGACATCAAGAGTAATGAGTTCCTGATTGACAGTATTTACAAGTCTAGCTAAATTATGGTCAGAAGCTAAAAGATTAGTGTCATCTGCAAATAAAACAGATTTAAGACATTGTGACGCCGTGAACATATAAACTTTGAAGACCCCTAAGATGATGTTAATAATAATGTTATATAATAATTATTTTGGATTGTTTATTGTAGGTAAAAAGTCTTGTTTGACAATTCTTCTCCAAAGAGAAAGAAGAGGGATGGTTGAACCTATCTCGAGCACTAAAGTGCATCGTTCCCATTACAATTTTACTTTGGGAATTAACTAGTGCAATTTTAAACTACACCGTTTTTCTTAATATGGTCCTTATTAGATATTTAAACTCATGCAAACTCGTGTCATATTTGTCCAGTGATGTTGTACGTATAGTATGGCAAGTGACTTTGGATAGGTGGAAGTTAATGATATCTTAAGATGCAACGCTATGAGGGAATACGTTCGTATGGGCGATTGGTCATACCACCCAACCATAGGTTGGCGTTTCGATTTTATATGCAAGCTTAAACTCCCTTGTATTGCAAAAATACAGAAATCGAGGTCCTCTTTTTCTTATAATATAAACATTATTAAAAAAGTGAGGACATGTGTTACGATTCCATGCCTAATCAGTATAATTTTTTATTATTTTATTCACTTATGTTAAGATGTTGTTTTAATATAAGATGTTCAATGTATGATCGGGAGATATCCATGACCAAAAATACAGTCATCAAAAATCACTTGCCATTTTATACTTGGTCTATCATGTCTATTGAATATTAATTATTTAGTACTACAATTTATATTTTACAGTGATCTTATAGCTGCGATTCGCAAGGCAATCGATTTGAAGGCGACACGGAACAGACCTGCGGTTATCAAGTAAGCTGATGAAAAGCAATATTATAAGACTCCGAATATGTATTGCTATTGCCTGTATTCTTCTCCTTTCTTATTTGGACACGTTTTATCATTTGACCAGAAGACTCTGGGTAAATCTAATTATATAATTGGCCGGGGTAAGTGACTTGCTTGCTCAGAAATTAGGTAAAATTGTATCTGGGTTCAAGGTCAAATTCCCAATTTGTCAGTTATTTTGGATTCTGATCGAGATGTAGCGTCCCAAGAATAGGTCAATAAAACGTTCTCCAAATCCAAAGTTATTGTAAACAATTTGATAGAATTTTTGATAGGATATTATAATGGCAATGATTTATTTGATATTCAAACATAGCTAGGCAAGGTGTGTCTGAATCCAGCCAATCCGAACACATTATTTCACATATAGAACAGTGTGTAAAATCCTATTTGAGATAAAATTCAACAAAGATACTCAAAATAATGTCCTTCTGCATTACTACACTTAGACGAGTAGCGATTTGCAAAAAGTCCTAATTTAAAGAAAAAAAGGATCGACTGACCCTGTTAGGTTTCTTGGTATTTTTGGAAAGTTTATTACCTCTACTGCATCTTCCATATATTAAGAACTTCTGGCCATGGTCCCGTTGCTATGGAAACGGACGCTGGATAAAACACTTGATGTTAACAATATCTAGATCACCCATAAAATTGTTTCTCTCACAACTTTAACATTTATTATCCGTTTTGTGTCATATTGGTACCAAATGAAAGCTTATTAAATGCTTTTTCACCAATAATGCAATTTATGCAAATTAGCCCATTTGCATATCCATTGTGACGTAATAATTGCAATTTTTCCTAATATTATGTGCAAGTTATTAGATAACATGTTACAAATACCCCCCTTGAATTGAATAGCACTGGTCTATCTACCCATTACTACTTGTACACCTCTTTGCAATTCTAATGTATGAAAAGCGTTTAGTGTTTTAATGTCTTGTGTAAGTAATGTATCATTGGGCGTTCGTGTTTTCTCTAACAAAGAGGATTTACAATGATTTTACACTTTTACACATTTCACCTTGCACTTTGGTTTTGATCTCATTTATTCCAAAGAAAACTAATTGTTAGAAATATTGTCACAAATATTACCCTGTCCCGTTGAAGCCTTGTCGAGGTTATCATAGCAACCATAACTTAAGAAATATTCATTACAAGCATCTACATTCTTCATAACTTATGAGGAAATGAAGGTCCCAGTTACTTTATTAATAAGTGGAAAACGAATGATAAACTTTTAAGTTAGAGCATCTTTGTATTTTTATGGATGTGGGTCCTTTACATATCTAAATACAAGAGTATTCGATACGTAAACGTTTCTTTATTTGTGTGACATTTGTGAATTTTTTTCATGTAAATTTACGTATTTCTGTCGTGTACCTTAGGCTTTTTTGTAGTATATCCCTCGGAACGGTGCCATATGCACAACTGGACGTTGCTGTAAAATCGGCGGTGAAGAGTGTGAGCATATAGGCTTACTAAATATAGTACATATTACACGATTTTAAATCAGTTTAATAAACACCATACAAAATGAATTAGGAATCAATCATTGAAAATGATTTTAAGATTATTTGTACAAAATCAGTTTGGAGAATACAAAAATATTGTTTTACTACACTTTATATTACATTTAAAATCATATTGTATTTAATGATTTTAGGGTATATTTGTAAGCGTTGGTGCTGGCAATTTCAAAAAGCTTTGGGCAAAACAATCACCCGCCCGTGCACCTAAAGCGTACGTAATAATTTATTTAATTCTGAAATTGACTTCCATATATGAATGCCACCTTGGCGTGGGCCTATCAGTGATATATAACTAGAAATAACAGGAATATTGTAGCGGGGAAACTATTATAGGTCCAGGATTGTTTGTGAAATGAAAATTACCTATGGTAACTTTTTACATACAACGAATGTTGTGCTTCACCTGTTTTCCTACGTGCCCCGAGTATATGAACCTGCCCAGCAACGTCATGCACAGAATCTGTCATTGTTCATCTGCGTTTAGCCTTGCCCAAGTCGGTCTCTTTTACTTATCTTGATTTCTATTATGACCGCCTTGTACCAAAGAAAAGGCCACGTGCTTTACTGACAGTTTGTTGATGTCGGTAAAATTTGACCAATCAACGACGGCCCTGTAGCGTTAGCTCATTATTATGCACGGCCAAAAACAAGTACACTTTTCACCGGGACTTTTCACGAACAAATCTTGCACGAATCTGAGCACGAATTCATCATGAAAATACAAATATTTTATCAGATAAATATCAATGAGAGTTTAGTGGATGCCGGGGCATCGATCGGATAACCAAAGGTGAGAAGATTTCAACAATAAACGTTGAAACGATCGCTGAACATGTAAGATTCAATCACCGATCGACGACAACATGACCCGCTACATTGGACTAGGTCTTCGTGCATTTTCATCGCGAAATCAGTTTTAAATCAACATTGAATCGCATGATTTAATTTATATTAATGACTCTTACCTTCCAATGTACATTTAATTACATAATTTATTGTAAATCATAAATTGAATTTCAAGTCGTAGATGGGAAGTTTGTTTTGTTTATGCAGCTCAACCTAATAACGTTTTGATTGGTCATTCAGCCTGAAGTCACACGTCGTGTCCACGCGATATCTGTCAATCAATAAGGTTTCGCGATACCCCTGATAGCAAGAGGAGGGAAAACCCCATGATTCAATTGATGACATACAATTTCCTCCTTCACGCACCTCCTTTTGTCGAAAATGTACCCTCCATCTTGGTTTCTCCCCCTCTTCCTGATAGCGTAGGTATTATGGAAATCTCGAAACCGTTGAATATTTCAGCATAATAACAGCGGAGATGTATTGGATTGTACAAGGCGGTAATAATTCAAGATCAGATAAGTAAAAAATACCGACTTGGGCAAGGCTAATCTGCGCTAACTCTTCAGTAAATCTGAGTGTTTGTTATGTAAATGTTATATCATATGTAATGAATTGCGCACTTCTTTCTAAGATTTACAGTTGCTAGTGTTGGCAAAGATGATAATCTCAGTTGGTTCTCAAACTTTGGTGCAGGAGTCGACATTGCGGCCCCTGTGAGTGAAACATTTTGTGATGATACCAAAATTAATTATTCAAACGACCATTCTCTAATCAGAATGTAGCATATCCGTGCTCTATTATGAATGTTTACAATCGTTCGACAGAGTGTTAGTACAAATGTACTCACCTTCGGTTTGTGCTTTGAACGACATTCTGTCAAAGTAGTGCTGAATTTCACCATATCGAATGGTCTATCATTATTCCTTGAGTACAGCTTGCTCTTTATATGCAGCAATATGCTTATTTCTGATGGAATCTGCACGAATTTTACAAAGGATCCGGAGCTATATACTCAAATACGTACTCAGATATCTACTCAATTACATACTCAGCTATCAACTCAACTACTTATTCGATCAGCTACCTACTCATCTACCTATTCAACTACTTACTCCGCTAGTAACCATGAAGCTTATTCAGCTTCAATCTAGAGGATTAATCGAACTTGTTCAATTTACCCTTCCAATGTATACATACCATCATACAAAATGAAAATATGAAAAAGTCACATACATTGATGTTCATCTATTTCCATATATTTAATCTTACAGGGTGAGGATATATATTCTGCGTCTAACGCCTGTGATAACTGCTACACAAATGGTTACGGTATGTATATTGCTAATTAAGTAGCAAGAGTATTAGATACAAGTAGCTATGAAGAGGCCCTACCCTCGGAATGTGTCAACATCTGTAAAAACAAAAAAAACTCAATCATCATAGCTTACTTAAAGGAATATTCCTTGCCAAACAATTTCTCTCCTCATATGGTAGCTATAACCATATATATGCTTGCCATGTTTAGCAAAGCACGCAAAAATGTTTTGATATGGTCAAATTTGATCACTTAGAAATGTGATGGTGAATTCCAGTAAGCTGCCATCCTTTAAAATTTCACACAGGAAGTGATGTCATCCACTCTCAACTTTGCATATAGCATTAGGTGAGGAGCTATTAAGAATTACAAAACCAGCTAAATATTCTTTTTCAACTTTGTATCTTATTTAATCCTTCTGAAAATCTCTTCTTTTATTCTAAGTTGACAAGCCCTGAAAATATTTTTGCACAGAAAGTAATGATCACTTGTCTAGAAGTGATTTTGTGCTACTTTCCTATACTGTTATGGGCAAGGTTATAGAAGTTGAGAGTCGATGACATCACTTCCTGCAAGGGATCTTAAAAGATGGCAGCTCACTGGAAATAAGCACTATGTTTTTAAATGATCAATATTGACCTTAATGAAACATTTTCCCATGTTTTGCTAAATATGGAAACTATGTATATGATTATAGCTACCATATCAAGAGAGAAAGGGTCTGGCAAGGAATATTCCTTTAACTTCATCTCTCTCAAGAGCGCAGTCCTCTCCGAATCTATGCAAAACCTGGTCATATTTGCTAATATTCTAGAGGTCAATATTTGGATATAAGTTAGCCTCCAGTCTCGTTAGTACTCGAACCCTCTCTACATTACATTAATGTTTGAAGACCTATTTTTCAGGAACATCATATGCTGCTCCCCAGGTAGTAAGTACAATTTTTTCAATGTTCATAATGTGTGATAGAAAATTATAATCTCGCCTATAGCTCACATTTATACCGGACTAAAACATTTCTGAAAAATAAACACTACCAGAATATTTTAATTTATTATTAGAATAATCACTACTTTATATATTTGAGGCCGGTGTGTTAAAATAAAAAATATTTTTGATACATGAATAAATTTGTTGAGGTCAATGTATCAAAATAATATGTTTACTTTGCCATACCAAATACAAGGCATTAACATGACAAAAGGTCCCCACCAAGTTGCTCACAATACTATTAGTTCAAACATAAATCAGATTTGAATTTCTGAGAACTCTGTAGATGCTTTTGAAAAATGGTCAATATGAAACAAGTGTTTTGACCCTGCATGAGAAGCAAGTTGAAAAATACCCTTTTGACCTTGAGAAGGTCATTGAAGGTCAACTTTTTTGATCTTGAAAATGTCATAAAAGGTCAAATCTATATTCAGATTGAACTTTTGAGAACTTGTACACGTATGTGATTTTTAAAAAAAATTGGTTAATTTGAAGCAAGTTGAAAAAAGACATTTTCTATAACCTTTTTTGACCTTGAAAAGGCCATCGAAGGTCAAATCTTATTTCTAGATTCAGATATGAACTTCTGAAAACTTGCAAATGATTTTGAAAAAAAATTGAAGTCACTAAACAGTATTTGTCAAGTCATTGGAATTTAAGAAATTGTTACAGACGCAGATCGCCAACCACCATCCGCCGAACGCCGTCACAAAAAACTGCAGACCATTACAATATGTCACCACTTTTTTAGTAGTGACATGACAAACTAATTTCAGTATATGTATTAGTAAAATAATGCGTTTTGTAGTACCTTATATACTGATAATTAAATACAATTGTATAATCGAATTGATTTGAGAGTAGTAAATAAAAAAAAAAATTGTTTTTTTATACCGACCCACTTTTATTTGAAACGGCCAAAGTAAATGTTCATATTAAAATTGAACATGCAAAATGTCCCCACCTGTCACTTCTGGCTGTGACATAATAAGAACTATGTTCACCATATGCACTGGTTGTTTTAATATAGGCAGGCGTAGCAGCGTGCTATTTAAGTGTTTATCCAACAGCAACAGTCCCACAAGTTGAAGCTTATTTGAGGAACGGGTAAATATCCATATCATTGATTGAAAATACAATAACTTTTGATATTGACCCTATTAAATTAAGTGTAAGGATAATTTTTAATCTTTTGAACCAATGTACAGTATTTAGTACGCATTTTTGAACTACCCTCGGGCGAGTGCATTGCATAATTCAGAGTTTAAGCTAGCAATGTTTTCACAACGTGACCGCGAACGCAAAGTCCATGAATCAATACTATAAATTATTCAATGATTCGAGTGAAATACAGAAAATATTCTTCCCGAGAAGGTTGTATTTCACGATGCGCTAGCAGAGTGAAATACAGACGTCCAAGGGAAGAATATTTTCTGTATTTCACGAGAAATCATTGAATAACGTTTTTATTCCATGATTACCCATATAAAACTCGCCTAAATCAAGTCCCTTGGCTTTGGGCCGGAGAAACAGATCAACCTTCTCACCTCAGAGATATTTTACATCGATATTCCTTCAAAATCTTTATTGTATTACCCTTATAAAAAAACATTTTTTCCGAAATTCAATGGTTTCATTGCATATCATGTAACCATCATTTCAACCTTGAAGATCAAAGGAAAAATCATTATTTCAACCTTTAAAAACCATTGCGCAACCATTACTGCACCCAATCTTTTCAACCCTTTTTACATAAAGTTGCAATGGTTACGCAACCATTTTTGAGAAACCATTGCAAAACCATTACAACCATTACCCATTGAAATAAACAGTTACAATTGATTGCAACCATTGATGGAGAACTGTAACTGTTGCAATCATTAATTCTGGAAATGAACACTCATGGGTAGACCCGTAGCCAGCTTTTGCACTTTTTAAAACTTTCCAAGGGAATTCACATTTGATAAATATGGCCCAAAAATGGCCAAAATCACTTGAGAAGTGATCAATATGGTGAAAACTGCATGAATTTGAAATAATTTTTGGCCAGGGTGAACTGCCCCTCCCCCCGAACAACCCTGTTTACGAGCCTGGAGGACAATTATAACTTTTAAATTGTTAATACTTTCTCATTTAATCATTAGAGCCCTCTCATCAGGAATGCAGTACCCGATTAAAATCTGACACAAAAATATTTAAGGAGCATTTCAAATCCGATCTCTAAAACATTATATTTATACATTACAAATAAGCTAATCCCTAGGATCTTAAACACATTTCTTTGGCCAAATCACTTATCGGGTATTCGTTTTTAAGGAGACTGAATAATGATGGAATGTTTTAAGATAATAAAGATTCTTTCTTGTTTCAATTCAATTTTGTTTAATTTTGCAGGCTTATTTTCATTTAGAAAATTGTAAAAATACAAGTTAAGATTTTACAATTTTGAATTCAGATAAGGTACCAAGACAGAGCAGCAACAGATACACAGACAGAGCGGCAACGGTTGAAATGCTAATTATAACCATTGAAAAGCTAATTATAACCATTGAAATGCTAATTATAACCCTTGAACAGCCAATTAGATAAAGTTCTGTTTTGATAGTATAATAAAAAAATCATTACAAATTATGTCTTCTTTCTAAAAATTATTTTTGTCTGAACAATTTATTTTTGAATTCCCCCTACCATAATAATGACACAATCATAGTTAATAAGTTGAGATTCACATTAAGATTTTTAAAACCAGCTATGGTCTTGATGAATTCTCTCTTTTTGTAGCAATACTTAATTTAGAAGTTCATAATACAATTTTGAGACATATCCATATTCTATACCATAGGGTATGAGCTCCATACTCAAATTATTTCTTTTTGATTAATTTCATTTGATTGTAGAGGATGAAGTGTATTCGTGCTTAGGACTTCAAGATCATGCTCATATGCATATTATTTCTATTTAATTTTTAAGTTAATCATGAATATTAAATGATATCAATATCATTTATACTTGCATCTTATATATTGCTAAGCAGAGACTTTTTATGTCTCTATGCTAAGCAAGAATATTTCAGGAACAGGGATTTAGCTTTTGGGGTAGATTACAAATTGCCTTGATGTCTGTCTTTGAATATTAGTTACTTCAGTCATCCATATAGGCTTTCACTCAAGTATGGATTTTACTGTATTGTACATCTATCTGTACATGTACTTAAAATTTTAAGATTCTGCTTCCCTATCTGATTACTGAACCTGAGGGTATCTCTTCTGTAACTCAAACACTGATATTGATAAAGTTGGTTGCTGATCTTGAATTTAATCCAATAGTAATAATTAACATTTTTTCGATTTGTAAATGATATTGAAGAAAAGACAGTCAATCCGGCTCTTGCCTAATCCAAAGTATAAATACAAGGATGTTGATGTTTCAAAATCATGTATTGGAAAAATTTTCAGTTTAATCTACTTAATTGTTGTAATAAGACTTCTTTGATATTGGAGAAGCAGTTATTTCGGCACTAGCTTAATCCAAATCATAAACAATAGGCAGGAAATACAATCTTTGATGTTTCATAATATGTGTGTATTTTTAGTCGGAAATTTTTTTTGTTCAGACAGGAGAAAAATAGAAAAATTCCACAGAATGTTTTGTTGTATTGTTCAGTAAAACTGAATGAATCAAGAAAGAGTTTCCAAATAAATTACAAGAATGACCAGGCCAAAAATGAATACACTCGATTCTCTTCAATAAAATAGAAATAATATCTCGATGAACATGAACTTAAAGTAATATTCAGTACCAAAAATGAGTAAACCTTATTCTTTATAGAAATAAACCTTATTGTCTTCAATTAATTATAGAAATAATATGCCAATAATTATGAACTTCCATATTTTAAAACATAATCATGCAGTCAATTCATTTGTATGTTCTTCATGTTTTTAATTGTCTCATTCTTAAACTAAATTATTTCCATGATATGGTTGAAAATAGTTGCAACAATTTGGTAAAATGCAACTAAACAATCAATGGTTTCGTAATGGTTGCAAATGATTCCATAATTTCAATGATATGCAACCCAAAATTTTCAACCAAATTTTAATGGTTGAAATGTAATGGTTGGAAACCATTTCAAATGGTTGCAGCAATGGTTACGCAATGATTTTTAATGGTTACGCAATGGTTTTTAACGGTTGAAATTCGGAAAAATGGTTCTTTTTCTAAGGGTATACGAGACGTTTGATTTTCTTTCCAACGCAGCATTGGTGATAAATTTCTTAGGGAAAGCTTATGTCAGTAAAGAATTTAAGAAACACTTTCATGCTGAGAAATATAAACAACTAGTTTCTGGTTTTCCCAATTTTACTGCTATGGCATTAATGGTTAAGAAATGGGGAACAAAACCAGTCAACATTTTATGGATTATGATGTCGGCTTTGTGGATGAATGGTGATCCTTTGATATCATATGGACTTCCATATTGACCCGTGTCTGTCCCTGATCATTTGAGACTGAATGCACCATTTGTGTGAATCTAGTTTCTTCTTAACATCTGTTATTGGTTATTGCCTTTCGACATAATTTTAATGACTTTAGTATGTAAACTACCTCAGTTAGTGTTGTGGTCTCAGATTTGATCATAGTTCTTGGATGGTGGGAGGGAGTATAAAGACATTGTTTTTCAACTTAGCTTATGGTTTTGGATAGTTTTGGTTTGTTTTCCTATTGTCATGTACTCTCGGATATTTCATTTTCCTTTACCTTTGACATTTGTGTAAACATATTTAGGCATTATTCAAAACCAAGCGCAACAGGCCTTTCCAATAATTCTGGTCACTCTTTGTTACATCATAGAAGCCAAGATAATAATTGGCTTATTTGAGGATGGTAAAGGATACTGCTTATATTTATGTTCGTAATCAGTATTCTGAACAGTTTCACAGATTTACGAATACTTGACTTCTTAAATTTTGTTCCAACTAATCTGGGTCGGTGGAGTGTACTGTACTGTTCTTGTTTTTACAGAAACCTTATGTACTCTACTGTTTATCTTGCTGTACTGTACTGTACAGAGGCCTCATTATCATCTGGTCGCAAATAGTTGCGTTGCGTCTGCGATGCGATTGCGATCGCAATTCGTAACGCATGCGATGCGTGATATTATCAATTGAGCGCAATCGCAGACGCAAAGCAATCGCAAAACAATTAAAACGTAAGTTGCGATCGCAAGTCAAGAGTGTATTTTGGCGCGAAATTTAAAAGGACACTGGCGCTAGTTTTTGACATTGATTGATTGAAATTGATAGAAATCCAATAATTGATATGATTTGATTGGTTGCGCATGCATTACACTTGTGCAAGACATAAGTGCGCCAAAATGCAAATCGATTTACATTAAACAGACGGTAGTCGAAGAAACATGTCGAGGGCAAGGAATTGGACAAATGATGAACAAGAATTATTAGTATCTCTCATTGAGAAGGATGCAAATATTCTTTTGGCTCCACTTAGCTGTCAAATAACAATACAGTCACAGGATATTTGCTGGGCAAGGGTAGCTGGAAAAATAAATTCACTTGGTGTGGAAATGAGGACTAGAAAAAACGTTATGTAAGTCACACATCACTGAAAATAAATAACTGTTATAACGGGAAGTTGTCATGTTACTGAAACTAACTGAAATAAAATGAACTTTTTGTCGTTGTTGTATGTGTTCTACAATGCTTCTATCTAAAATCCGTCAACATAATTTTTCAACAGACAATGAAACGATAACAGCTGATGAGTTTTCTATTTGGTGGTGTATATTTTACATTTTATACACATGCAAGAAAATTGCAAGTTGTGGGTTCCATATCGATATATGTTTAAATATGTCTCCAGTGTATTGCATTTATTTTCCTTTGGAACAAAATATGAAACACGTCTTTTGCATTGTGATCAAAGCAAATCATGTTTGAATCAGGGTCGGGATGAAAATGTGAAATCTTGGTGTTCTTGTACTTTTGCAGACGATGTTGGTGAGGTACATATACACTAGGAATACTCAGAACATTAGTGTAGTAGTGGCAAGATTAATTCACCAAACAAGCTTTATTAGCTAGATAAATATTTAATTGGCGAAAATCCTATGCTCCAAAGAGCACGAAATATTGCAGGCACCAATCTAAGACGTATACAGTATGTGATGCGTTCGCAATATTTAGAAACAAACGTGATTTTTAAGGATTTACAGGCTCAATTAAATGTATATTTTAATCATATTAAATAAATAAAATTGAACAATTTCTTCGATACTAAAATAAAATAAATAAAATACCGATATAAAACACCACAAAATATCCATTAACATAGATAAAATAACGCTCAAAGATGAACTAGATTTGCGATTTGATTTGATTTTGATAAACGTCGTCGCAACTTTTTTTGTTTAGTTGCGATCAGAAAATCGATAACTTTGCGTCAGACTTGCGATGCGATGGAATGATAATAACATTTTTGGGAAATAGTTGCGTTGCGATGTCTTGCGATGCGATTCGCATGCGATTTTGCGTTGCGACCAGATGATAATGAGGCCTCTGTACTGTACTGTACTGTATATACCATTGCTCCGTTCTTTGATGAACTGTATCGTACTGTAAGTCGAGCACCTACTGCAATGCTCAGTACTCTCCTGTACTTTGTCGTAATGTACTTTAGCATGAATGAATAAACGCAAGGAGCACACACTCGCAACCTCGTGGTTATGGCCCCAATCGCCTAGCCTAGACGTGCTGGCGCTCAAGCCCTCTCGGCCAAGTCGACAACCCCATAAAAGGTTGTTTTTATTAGTCGATTTGACTAGAGGCTGCAGATGTTAACGCTCAGACACATCAGAGGAAGCACCCTACCCCCTTTTTTCCCTTATATATTTCTAAATATACACACGCTGCTCGACTGTCCTTAAGAACCCAGAGCGGGTTAAGAGCCGGTTAACATACACTGTAAAATTCAGTACTCTGCTGTACTGAATCGTGATGTACATTATTGTTTGCACATTATAGATTTGATCACAATTAACAGCATGTTTCTGTTAAAGGTCTTGGAAAGACAAGATTGGAAATATTGGAGGTGGAGTTAACCCAGGAACCCCAAACCGAATTCTTCGCTCAAACAAATGTTGATTCCTGAAGGAAATCACGTGATCGGCAAATTGTTGATGAGATATACATGAGACCACCAAGAAAATACTATTATGATCATGAAATACTTTGTAAACCTAAAATGATATTTAACGAGAACACGAATGATTTTTTTCTCCAAAAACATGTAATTTTATTTTAAATAACATTTGATACAGTTGGGTTCATTGGAAAGTAATATTACATCCGAAATACTTTATGTACTGCTTGTTAGATGTATTTATATTAGCCGTAACAATCCTGTCAGTGGTTGGTCTTAAATGCTTATTTTAATTTGATGTCATTAAATATAGTACGTAACTGTACTTAAATATAAAACGCGAAATAAATTGTCAATTTTATTTTATTTTGTTGTTCAAAAAATGATATACTTCCTATAAGAACAATGCTAGCTTCCTAAAAGAACAATCTGTTCTCATTCGAATGAAAGTAAAAGCAAGGTAAACGGTCTTTATAACTTAACTGACGTACTTCCAAATATTAGCATTCATATTTCAAGATGTACAGAAAATACCAATCAGTGATTTATTATGCAGATTTATGAATGTACATGGTATCGTTCCGATATAATTTTATTGGCATCGAGCTCCAAATATCATAACTTTGCCCGTATTATTACACATCCCACCTCTCAATTAATTGCCTTAGATTCCTTTGCAATCTACCTTATGGTATCCTAACACCCCTCTGGTTTTTACTGATGACATTAACTTGGACGCGTCCAACTAAGTATAAAATTAGTAAGTACACGTGCTGAGGTCCTCAATTTCCCTATCCCCCCTAGTGAATAGCGGGGAGGTTGGGTGGGACTTTGGTAATTGAGAGGTGGGTATGTTTATAAACAGGAAAATCAATTTAAAAAGGATTTTCCCATTCTACCCCCATCATCTTGGTTTTAACGTCATAAAGTGTCTAACTTCTGTGGCTCTCAAATTAAAAAAATATATATTAGAGACGCAAAACATTGTATCCGACCACAACCCCCACCCCCTCCCATGCAGAGAATAGGGCTAATCATAGTAGTATACAATAATGTTTCTCTAAACTTCTTATAACTTATATTTGGGAGTTGTTGAGGGAAGTGTTGGTTCAAAGTCTACACAGAACCTTGCTCTACATCCACGAGCCACCCACATGTCCTTTGTATTTTCATCATAGCCCCATTTGTCCTCAGAACACTGCGTTCTGCAAATAGAAATACGCAATTTTCTAACATGTAGATCAAGGAGGATCGGCTCCAAGATTGCAACTTCTATATTTTTGCAATATATGGGCGTCGTGATTACAAAATTCGAATTTAAACAGGCGCCATTTTGTTCACTTGAACATTTGAGTCATAAATTTAGTCGGTTGTAATTTCAAAAAATAGCGTTTCACTGTTGGAAAATATCGAGTTTAGATCCTGAGCGCCAAATCTCCTTGCATGTAGATCAGACTCATAGACCCACGTTGAGATATAATTAGGTAAAATATATATTTTGCAAAGAGGTTACAGTTCAACACGTTCATCATACAATCAGTATAATTATAATTCATCACGTATCCCCTCTATCATTTGGAAACTAGCTCTCGAAACGTCCTGTTACTGTTATTGTTATTTTTATTCGATCTCACCTTGATATCTGTCTGTCTACCGTTGGGGTCTTTAATTGAAATGATTGCATGAATTGAGCGTCGTCGTGTACAGAGCAGGTTACGTTTCTCCATCGAACACTGAAGCAGTCAAAACAATGAGCACCTGAAAGAAAAACAATAATAGAAATTAATGATAAAAAATGAAAAATAAATAAAGATAAGATTTTGTGCATGATACTATTAGCTATTCTAAGACGTGTTATAACCGCGTTTCGATCAGGCCATAACAAATCAAGACCGGTAGACTTGTAAAGTGCATATATGAAATACGTATTCACAACCATTTTCAAAAACAAATCGTACCTTTTTCACATCGATCACCTTCAGCTCCGGAGGGGCAGAGACATTTAAAATTTCCCCCAAACATATTTATACATACGGCCTTCTCGCCATAACATGGGTTCGATCTGCATGCATTTTCTACATTAAAAGAAATAAATGTTACATAATTCTCGTATAATACACAATTATTTTAAACAGATTTGGTTATCAAGAAAAAGGAGTTTGATTTACGGTATTTTATATTTTTCTATAGTAGACAATTTTCTATCCCTTACCATTTGAAGGCCACGAGCAGTTGGTGTTCGAATCAGGAATATCTGAAAGGTAAACTTTTTGTGTTTTATTTCACACATGTACAGTGTAAGAGATCTTTTCAAAGCTAAAAATAACAGAGGTTTACATTTAGCCCATTACTTATTGGGCAGCTCTTGTATGTCTATCAATTTATTATAGTGAATTAACTGAATGATATATTTGTATGTATGTGGATAAAATTGAATAACATATCTTGTATTAAGTAGAAGTATACTCTTAACTTGGTCTATCATTCGACACGACCCTTTGACGGCCATGTAACAAACCTCTTTCCCTAGCACCCAGTAGATTTCTTCGACAGCCCACATCCATCAGTTTTTACTCTCTGGAGTGTTCCTTAACCTGAGGTGGCAACCTAAGCTCTATTTAGAATCTTACCTTCGCTGCAGTTGAGTCCTTGTTTGTTCGGGGGACATATACACTGGAATCCACCATTCCAGGGGATAGCAAAACCCTCGTTGCACGGAGCTATAAAACCAACAATCGTGTGTAGATTCATACCGAGAGTAATTTAGGATGCCAATGAGTTTGGTATAGCGATGAGTTTGATTAACCAATGAGTTCGGTAATACATGTCATAATTCACCTAACTATGATACCGCCGGGTAAATCATGGATTCTGGTTAATAGCCGTGAAAAATAAGCAACTCAGCAGGACAATATGGGATTATAATAGAACTTAAACCAATTGATAAATGGTAGAGAAGTTCAGATATGAGATGTTGCTGAATATTAAAATTGCAGATCGGAATGAAATAAACATGAGCACACGCGTTTCGAACTCACAATCTCGTTGTTACGGCGCCCAATCGCCTAGCCTGAACGTGCTGGCGCTCAAGCCCTCTCGGTCAAATCGACAACCCCAACGAAGGTTGTTTTGTTAGTCGATCTGACTAGAGGCAGCTGGTGTTAACGCTCAAACACACCAGAGGAAGCACAACTCTTGGTCACATTTGCTCTACTGCAGACGTACGGCGACCGTAGATTCACAAATATATAATCACAAGTGCCGAAGGGAAAGGACCAAAAGTTGTAATGGAACTTAGCAAGAAAAAGCAAACTCTAAGTGCATACCAGTCAAGAAAAACAAACCCCATATAGCCCAAAACCATGATCTAACGTGAAAAGAAACAATGTCTAATACCCCCTTTCCCCCACCATTCAAGAACCAATATCACAATCCAAGACCAGAAAACCAAGGGACATTTCATTCACACTGAAGTCATTACAATACATGTTGAAGAAAAAAATAGAAATTGATAGCCAATTGATAGCCAATACTCATAACCTCAAAAATAGTTGTAGATACAAGTACTCATACAATATAGAGCATTCAGTCTCAAATGATGTGGGATAGATAAAATCCAGTCTCCAAGTCCATAGGCGTTTCAAAGGGTCAACATCCATTCACAAAAGCCGTCGCCATAATCCATGAAACACAATAGTTCACAATGGTCATCAGGAGAAAACTATGGCTGGTTTCGATCCCTATTTCTCAACCATTAATGCCATAGCCGGGATCCACCTCAAAAGGTGCCAAGTGAAAATATTGTGAGTTCATTGCCAATGTCCTAAATAATTCCTACATCCTTGTTCCTTCAGTTGTTCAACATTGATATAGGAAATCCACGCATCGTATTGTTTATTCCTATACTTTATGCTGTATGTTTCTCTCGAGCTAGAAAAGCTACAGCCGCCGTACGATTGTCGGAGATCAAATGTGACTGAGGCATTGGCGTCATATACTAAATCCCATGGATTAATATACAAGATGGAGTGCTACTATAGTAGCAGTACATCACTATACATGTTACAAAATTCAATAAAGGATAAAAACAAAGTCCTTACCAATCTTGCAGTGTGTACCGTTTCCTTGATAACCAGAAAGACACGTGCAACTAAAACTTCCGTTTGTGTTCGTACATTCTGCATTATCGCCACAGTTGTTTAGCGAAGGGTCAGTGCATGGATCCGGTGCCTCGCCTGATGAATAATTTGATGTTGCGTTTTTATTCTTGTACATGTTTTTAAACGATTATTAGGTATTAGATATCCAATGTAAAATCATTGATGTAAAAATGAGATATTGTACTTGTATTGTATCAACTTGTACTATAGAAATAGAATTGATAATGATAAAGATGCCACTTTACATGATGTCCCGTATGTCAAGTATTAGAGACACAATTTGATATTACTGAAGTGAAAGTAAGACGGAAACAATAGTATACTAGTGCACGTTACATTTACTGTATTGTATCATTTAACATAATTGATAATGATAGAGATAATACTTTACATGATGTCCCATTCCCTACAAATCCCGATTTGCAAGTACAATTAGCACTTCCATCCAAACCAGTAGAACATTCTGCATTAACGTCACAGTTGTTCAGCGCAGGAACAGTACATGGATCTAATTCACTACCTGAAACATAATTTGATAGTAAGTCTTTATTTTTTGTTTTAAGGCGGTAAGTCAAGTATTAGAGAGACAATATGTTAGTATTGATCTGAAAGTGAGACAGACACAAAACTGTACTAGTGCACGTTACATTAACTGTATTGTATTATTTAACATAATTAATAATAATAGAAAGATAATACATTACATGATGTCCCATTCCCTACGAATCCCGATTTGCAAGTACAATTAGCACTTCCATCTAAACCAGAGGAACATTCTGCATTAACGTCGCAGTTATTCAGCACGGCATCAGCACATGGATCTACCAAGCCAAAAATATCATTAGACCTTGGCTTGCATTTCATAGACATTGTATTGTTATATATATATATAAAAGAAGAAAACGCAGAATAAATTCCTGCGGCCTGTCCCACCGAATTGATCAGCCGATGACATGCCGTGTTTAACTACCATAAATATTGTATCCTGATGCTTTTGCTACCTTCAAATTCGACATTGGGGACGAATGAGAAACGTTTTTATCAACAATCTTTCCCGATGATCTTGATCACATATAATGACAAGCAACAAAATAGGCAAACGTGTGAGTGTTTTATTAAACAAAGGATCACGTTTACGTTTCAAAAAGCTTTTTAGCGAATCCTGTAATCTCTTAATTTTGAACACCGCCTTCCTATTTTCACAATATACAGCATCAGACTCGTATCTTCTGTCGCATTTAAACCTTTTAAAAAAGCATCATTATGAATAAAATAGCTACATACATGTTAGATGATCATACTTACTTGTGCCACAATTCTCAGAGGCCATCGGCGGGACACTGATTGGAGAAAGGCTCCCATCACAAAGGTTCACTGTACCAGGGCTTAGGTGTCTCGTTTCGAACTGTGTCATGTCCCTCACCGCATTGCCATTACATCTATTTAGTGACTCGTCATCTGCACCATATGCAGGGTCTTCGATAGCAATGGCATTTTGAGGGAGGTAATCCGGGTAAAAAGGACCAGCATCGGTTTGAGAGGCGTAGATGCTGTACGCAATAAAGTCAACTAAATTTGCTAAAATAGAATGAAAAGTTTTCGATCGTTAGTGCTATATATGACATTGCAAATTCAATTATATTTAACTGTACTTATTATCGACGATTATGTTGAAGAAGCCATTAATTATCATAGTACCGCCGACATATCCACACAAAGCTTGTACGGTACATGGCTAAGGGGCTAAGTACAATTTTACTTTCAAATTTACCAAATTACTGATATCGAAAGCACTATATTATCCTTTGAAAGATGGTAAAATTGCCTTGTCACTTTTTGTAAACGGAAAAATAAGTTTCCATTTACATTCGGATATTCTTTCTTATTCATGGGTGTGTGTAGTATTGTATTGTATTGTATTGTATTGTATTGTATTGTATTGTATTGTATTGTATTGTATTGTATTGTATTGTATTGTATTGTATTGTATACCAATCAAATGTGTCTCCTTTCCAATGTATTTGATATGGTTTACCTGCATTCAAATCTCCAGAGTCTCCATTGTATAATCCGACACCATCACAACTTGTCGCTTCTCCATTTTGTATAGAATTTCTAGGTCGGGTGAACTTGATGTTTGGTGTTGGGTTGGTCATGGATGGAGAGCCAATCAAAAAGTAGCCCAGAGCACTGATACAATGGCCATCCAGCGTTATCATTGTGTATGCCGTTAGTTCTGCTTTTCCATTATATAACACCAATGTGTAGTTGTCCATGATAATGTCCCATGGCGATGTATTGTAAAGTTCTATGTATTCCAGAGTGTCGGACGATGGTTGATCTGTGTTCAGTTCATTTATCAAAATTGTTTTTCCTGCTGCTGTTTCTAAAATATAATTGTAAAAACTACATGATGTTTTATGTTTTTTTGCGAAGATATTACAACTGTAGGTCTACAGTGTAACACATGAGTGTTTTAACAGTAAAATAGTCCATGGTATGATTCCAGAATGTGGAGAATCCGAGGAACGCTTTGGTGTAGCAACATTTGTACCAATAAGAGGGTTCATATGACTTGATTTTTTGTAAATTCCATTATGCTGAATTTCCGGCTTTGGAAAATATGTCGAAATACGTTTTTCATCACAAGGAAGCAAAAAATAACCATTATATTTCGATTGTATATACATTTTATGAGAAAATTCAACAAATCTATAAGATTTATTTTATCAAGAGAAAATTTACGATTGAATTGCTAAATTAATAGGCGCACGGTATGGTAAAATATGTCTAATAGGATTTATTTTGAACTGATACACTAAGGTATCGAGATCTATTTAAAAAGGCACATCGTCACCAATGTGCAAAAGTCAATGCATCACATCCTCCTAAGCGGGTATCCAGAACTCGTACCTCCTTCCTCCCCCTGCTATAACCAATTTGGAAGCACTCGATTAAACTGAATCACGTGGTCTAATTATGGGCAATTAGTCCATGGTATGAAATCTCTAGGACGTCTAATAAAGGAGTTGGTAGCACACTATAGCCCAGCGATATTTGACCTTACATTAACATACCTACATATGTCCCCTAATAATTTTTATCATAACCGTTCAATATACTTCCGGCTTTTAGGCTGAATTATGCCTGCCATTAACAGAGGTCAAAAAATCACCAAAAAATAAAATTCCAATTTTTCACAATTTGGAGTACACAATGCAACAGAAAATAATAAAAAATGATTTTAAATATATGATTTAGGTTTCTAAGCTATAAGTTTGAGGTTATTTTTCTTATCAATGCCCAAAAATATGTAATCAGTGTAATGAGTGTATAGACGTTTTGTATTGTTTCTCGGGTATTAATAAGATAAATGCTACAAATGAATCACTTTTATATTGAAATGACAAATGTTTAAATTATGCTAATTTTTCACAAAAGGGGTCTCAATACGTTTTGAGATATGGACTTTTATTCAGCGGTGAAAATTATCAATATAGGCGGGCCTATTGCTCTTCTTTGACTAATTTGGACTACAGCTAAAATTCTATTCCCGTAGTTAGATATAGCTCAGTTGCTTATAAAACAACCATCAAGACTTCATCGAATTCATGAATAATTGAGAAAAATCGTTATCATTATCTTCCTAAAATTTGATTGTATCCAGCGGTAAGGTCAAAGAACAAACAGCGATCAGAAAACTTGATGATAGCCACAAGTAACGTCGAGGAAGAATTTCAGGGCGTTCGATTGCATATGACTCTAATTGATTATTAGACATGCCCTTCGAATATATGAACATTCCAATACCTCTGTAACATTTAATTAGATATAAATCTTACCTATTTGTTATTGTATTATATTTTGTAAAACATGAACAATAATTTGTTGTTAGACCTCTTGCGATTATATGGAAAAATTCTGGTTATAAAATGTTTTAAATAGTAAGAAAACTAATATGTTCCCAATCATAAATTGCCTAAATATTCCACATAATTTTGTTGAATCGGCTTGGCTCATATTTGAAAAATCAAACAAAACCTAAAAAACACACTTGCATAATTACACTAATTAAACACCGACATCTACGGTCAAATTAAATAGTATATTTTTAAATTATGATAATTTATTTTTGTTCGTATGCATAGAATAACGGTCTGTGTCTTATAAAATGTATAAAAGTTCGAATCAAAATATTTACGTTTTTTGATCCCTTGTGATGAAGGGCATTTTTCGACCCGAAAGCCGGGAGTTTTGTCAGTAAATGGTATTCAAGACATGTACACCTTCATAAATATTGCTTCAAATGTTGCTGCGCTAGAGTGTGCTACGGATCCTTCATATTCGGAACTCATACCATGGACTAAATGACTTATACATGATTTCCGTCGCAGTGTTGCGACAGCCATAATCAGATTGCGAGTTCTTAATCGGGGAAATGCTAACTGCTTATCGCAGGGGGTAAAAAGAAAGAATGTTATTCTGGATTTTGAAGCCCTGTCATCGTAGCAACATTTTTCTTTCTTAACATAACTCGACCCCATATGATCCGCATGGTACTCGTAAAGCAATTGGGATGTTTCTACATTTTTCTAAACTTAAAGACGTTAAATTTTAAAAATCAGGAGAACATACAAGTATTAGGCCGGTGTATTTTTATCACATCTATCAAATTATAATTTTGAAATTATAGTTTCGAAACATTCTTTAATTTGCGTATTGATACAAAATATTCGTTCATTGTGCATAATTATAAAGTAGTAAATACATGTACAAATATGAATTTCACTTCCTAGATTCCCCTACACCATCAGCCAATTTTGAGTTAGTATGCTATAAACATAATTTAAATATCATACTTTCAGCAATATCAGCATTTGTTACTCCAATGATAAGGAATGCAAGCCATAACGCCTGGGAAATCTTGAATGATACCATTTTAATCTGAAAATCAAAACAAAACAGTACAGCAAACTACATCTTTGATGATATATTTTAATCGGGAAACTAAATGTTTATAACATGTATATAACAATTTATATTCTCAATACCGATGCACTGCAGGAACTTTATTTGAATAAACCTTAATCCTGACTGACGATGCTTGATTATGTCAGCAGCCCTGCGTTAGGATGGTGACGAAGCTCTCTTTTAAGAAGTGAAGTCGAACGAATGCAAAGGGTAAACGATATTTGAATTATTTTATGAAATCCTTCATGTTTTGCTCCTAATAGGGGGCAGATGCCTCAATGCGCTCAGCTATCTAGGTTCATTGCTAATATTAGGCTTATTTTAGTCCCATTTCCTTTCCTTTTTTATGGTCCCCCAGGGAGTATGGTCCCCTTTCTTAAGGGCCCTTCCTGGCCCTGATTGTGTATAGATAATGAGGGAAAGAGTTGTATTTAGGTCACCATATAAATCAATGGAGAGTAGGACCATAATTTGATAGGACCCCCTACTCTTTTACACCTGATATATCAAAGAGAGGTATGTGGTATATTATTTTGTCCCTTTTCTTGGTCATAGCCGGTTTTATAATCATTTACTCAACCCTACTTGATTTTGGCAAGCGCGCAGACTTCTATCTCTATCTCAGTTGTATCTTGCCCATTATATAAATACTAAACCATTTACAACAGTCAATTATTGAACGCACATAGGACCGATCAATGTGCATTTGGCAACTTGGGAAGTAACCATTACTGTATTAACCAAATAAATTCTTAAACCAGTTGTTGGTTATTATATTGAATAGAGTGGGACACAAACCTTAGGCCGTCAAAAAAATTATTATCATTTTAATCGTGTGATATCCATACCTTTTCGATTCCACCTTTCCATCGAAAATCCACATATTGGTATATTTTTGACAAAGATACGACTTAGATTTGATGTTTAAACCAGCGGGATAGCTATTATTGTCTGATTGCTATTATAGTATAACTTAAGTTTGAATATGTCAACGAGTTGATTCGGTATCTCGACAGCCAAGACCCGACATAGAAAAATGGATTAGTCACGTCCAGATTTGCTTTACAGTTATTTTCGGGCCAAACTGAAAAAATAACCGAAAACAATTCACAGCGGTGTGACTAGCTTTACAAATAATGCAAATAATATTGGCTGTTTTTGTTTTATAAATTTGTAAATTTTCTTATAAGGAGGAAATGAAGAGACAATACCATATAATGCGGGCATGGATGGGGAATTTGACCAACAAATTGGCCTGTCTAATTCCTTACACCGGGGCCAAATAAATGTGTCAATTTCCATAAGCTGAGGGCAATAAATCTGGTCAAATATTCCCGACCCCAGGGACCCTCTCCCGAATTTACTATTTTTAGATATTTACTGGCTTGTAGGCTAATGTTCATGAATGTCTAAATAAAGGCAGATCTAAAATCGAATTGAAGGATTGACAAAATTGCAAACAATATTGTGCATATGTCGTACTAATACATTTCTTTAATGCATTTATTTTAGCTATTCAATAAGTCTGTTTTCTATACCATATACCTCTCTTTGATATATCCGGGCCTAAAGGGATCTTTC